TGTGCGTTAGCAAATGACTCTTTAGGTTATGGTGGCGTGTGAATTCCGTCTCGCAGTAGGGGCATTTGTGTTTCTTCGAGTTGGGTGACCGTGGAGCTGTTGGCACAGGAGTCATAGGCATGCTCATCCCACGAGTGGGAGGGGCCGCCATGTTCACATTTGGAGGCAGAATACCAGGATAAGACAACGATTGTACGTTCTTCTCCTCCATCTGAGCAGGCGGCTGCGCTCCCTGGCCAGCCTGACTATTCCGTGAATCAATGTCCATGGATCCGGGGTTGGTTTCAACAGGTGCGCTGGCACCGCTTAAGCTTTCGATGGCCGCAGAGGTCTCGTCGGGAACGGCGTCTAATTTATGGTCGGAATCACCCATATTTGGTACCGGAACAGGGGCAGGCGGAGAAGCATCAGGCTGTGCCTCTCCAGGCTGATGGTTGTCCTGGGGCTCATCTTGTGGGCGACTCAAAGCGAGAGCACTAGCCGACATCAATGCGGTCTGCGCTCTGTAGGCCGGGTTGTCAGTTATGCCGGAGACCTGGAGTCTATACTGTTCTTCTTCTCTACGGCGCTCGTCCTCGATTGCGGCGGCACCTGTTAACGGCGGAGGGGAGTGTCTTGACGCCAGCAGCCCGAGTCGCGCAGCCTTGCTCGGCGACGGGGGCAGATCAGAGCTAAAGGTCGGCGGCAAGACGGACGAGGGCGACGTAGGCGTGGTCTCTCGCTGGCGCTTCAGCGTCGCGCGAGCGACTTCAGTGATCGCCTCGACCGAGTCTGGCGTGGGCGCTTGAGGCGCGGTCGGAGCGAAGGGCGGGGCTTCCGTCGCGACAGGGCCTTTTTCGGACGACATGGTTGCAGGCAATTAATAATCGACTCGGCGATCACGATGCCCTACAAAATCTACAGGAGCGAGACCAGACGACGACGCAGACGAAGCTGTCGCGCATCAGCAGCGCATCGCCGAGCTTCGAGGTGATAAGGCTGGGTGGTGTGTGGCTGAAAACAGTGGCTGTCAGTGTTGGTGTTGTTTTGATGCGGATCGTGAAGTCGCGTTGGAAAGCCAGACAACGACGGTTTGAAATTTTTGGTTCAGTCAATCTAGTACACTTTTATCCACTATAAGCGCCGACCAATTCGGCCGTGGTTTTCTTGAATTAGAACGGTTAGAAATCAAGGCTGCGGACAGCGTGTGCTGGATTCAGCGTCACTGGAGGCTGGTGTCAGTTGGCGGCGAGGAGTAGTGACTGAGCCGCAGCGAGAACGATGGGTTGTGGATGAGCAGAGGGAAAAAGGTGCTTGGGGGAGACGTCAATTGTGGTGGTGCAAAAAAGGTGGGAACTGCAGCAGAGAAGAAATGTGGGTACCGAGCAGGACCAGGATATTTTGGGGCGTTGGGTGGCATGGAAAGAGGCGGAGGCAACAGGCCACACTGGCTAGTGTGCTGTTTTTGCTGCGCTGTGGCTTTTGATTGGCGGGGCTGGGGTGATGAAAGAACGGGGGAGGTAAAAGCGGATGGTGGGGTAGGCCTTCAATTGGTGGCTGATGGCCGTGCAATGCGCTGCTTGCGGTCGGGCTCCCCCATAATAGCAGATTACATACAGCATGCCTACCTACGCTAAGTGCATGTCTCACTTGCGGGTGGAACCTACCGGCTACCTCTTCTGGTAGTAGGTACTTGCTTATTTACCAGGTTGGCAATTCACTCTTCGCGCCTTTCCTTCTGGTACAGAGCGAGAGACACGTGCAAACATCGGATCCTCGCTGGTCATCCGGGATTGTCCGGGATATTTGCCAAGTATCTAATGACGGGCTTGATCTTCTAGAGCACTTTCCGTCCATGGCTCTATGTCGATCTCGTCCAGTGCTGTACAGTGATGTATGTGGAAGCAAGGACGCAGAAAGTATTGATCATGACAAGTACCCATTCACCTACATACTACATAGTAAGTATATGCGTACATACTGCAGGCTGCGTGTTGCGTGTTCTGATGGGATGGGGCTGGAAGTTCTTACTCAGACTGGTACCTAGACCACGCATAATAAGTCAAGGTGTCCCTTGATTGTCAAGCCGGTAAAGGATGCTATTAGTTAAACACCACGAACGCAATCAAATCCCATACGGAAGTCATAGATGGAGGCATTGCCTGACGGGCCACTAGCTTGGAATATGGTCAGAGCGTTTATAAGTTTGTATCTGTCCACTGTTGATCATCTTTTACTTAGCCGCTACATACAGCAAAACAAACCATAGTTAAACAACGGTGGTATTTGCATATGCAGATGCAGATGCTCAAGTACTCGATACATGCCGAATGTGACGAGAAGCAAGAGGCAAGGGCTGGGGGGCTTGTCCAAGTCGGCGATTAACCTCGGCGTGTACGCATACCTACTGCTACTGTATGTTGACAAGAGGCAAGAGGGGTCTTGCGCTGCTTAATTGGCTACCGGTCTTGTACACCTGAAGGTGGCGCCCAATAGGTAGTCTGGCTGGCTCTTGAACAGGATACCTACCTCCATTACTACATCGATTGCCGAATTAGACTACGCATGCCCATCCATCTTGGGGACGTGCAGGTAGATATGCGTGGAGGTGGCATGCATACGTCCAATGTATTCGCCATTCGAAAAAACTTTAACAATGTTGATTTTGATATCAAGGTGCCGATCAACTTGCAGCTTTCCTCTCACAGATGCCAAGATACTAGTAGATGGTGACTGATATGGCTTGGGCTGTTCCAAATCGGGGAGTGCGCAACGCTTGGAACCAGCCACTCGGACACCTGGATTAAATTCGGGACTTTACCTGAGTGACGCCACTTTCAGCCGGAGGCTGCACTTGAGCCCGTCACCCTGAGCGAAACCCCACCTATGCATAAAGCTGATCATAAGATAACGGAGCAGAAAACGGAGGATTACGGTGGTCTGCCGTGTCTGCGTATCCAAACGGAGCATTTCTTGTGAGCGACCTAAAGCAACTTCATGACATTTATCATTTTCACAGCCAACTATTCACTCAATACATATATCGATGTATCACTAATACATTCCTTCCAAGTTTCCGCCTTCAAGAGGTACAGCCCGTCAGATCAATCGGAAAATCACGTATCCCAACCAGCGCTTTCCTTCGCCGCCCATCCCCTACAGACTTACAGCGCCTTCTAACGTGTCTGGCAGTATGATCAGGTTCAGCAGCAAGACGTTTACGCTCTAAGCGCAGGACTTCATCATCAATAGTCGCTGACTTCAAACATCCCGCAGTTGACAGCCAGCGGTCTCGGGTTGTCAGATCATTAACCCACGCATCGCATTTCCACTCAACCCAGTAGTCAACCACCCCATCCCAGTACTTTCTAAGCGGCCCTTTCTGGTTGATATACAACACGAGGCCATCATTCTTGTGAGCAAGTTTCGCAAATTTTCCAGTGAGTTTCTAGATGCCATGTACTATAAGACTCGTCCCAAGGATCAAAAGCAAGTCGACATTAAGGGACAAATTATGTTGAATTATCTCTGCGATCGTCTGGCCCCGCAGGTCTAGCTCGTTGTATAGGAGGATGCCTGGTCGGAGAAGTCCTGGCTGTAGTGTACGGCCCCTTCCACTTGTGGTGGGACAAGCTGGACAGGGAGGAAGTTGGAAGTTGCCCATGTGCCGCTGAGCTCCGCAACCGGGACCAACTGCATTGCTGTCCACATTTTATGCACCGAAGCAAACGAATCGACCCATGCAATTGCACACATTCAACGCCTCGAGGCAGAGATGGTTGAAGTGGCGCTGTTGCGTCGGAGGTAGGGTCGGAAATGAAAACACCGGGCCCTTTGCTTACGTCTATGCAAAGACCTGCTTGCTCTTCGAGGCGATCGATATTCTGCGTATATGTTCTGACGAGTTGGCCACTCTTCAATAGATTCACAAGGAATCGATGCGGTAGGCTTGGCTAACTAGTCTCTGCGTGCTCAAATAGTTCAAGGCAGATTTTGATCAGTGCAGGCCCGTCTGATGGATGGGAAAGAGCCGTTTGCTGAAAGAGATCTCGAGTCTTGACACCGGGTCGATTTCAGTTCAATGATTCGAAATCCTAGTCCTGTGAGCATCACCGAAACTCAAGGGGTCTTTATTCTTATTGGGATGCCGGCACTGGTACTGATACCAGCACCTGTGATAGCGATAACTCGATTCGACCTTGCTATCACCTTAGCCAACTCCTCCAAAGTATCATGAGACTCGGCAGTAGTGTGGCAGACAGTCTGAAGCATGGTTGCGGATAGGTGGTGAAATTGGAAGCTTCAGGGGTGGATCATCTAGAAGCGGTGCTTGGGTAGGAAATCCAGGATATTATCAGATAGGGAGCTTTCGAGTATTTATTCTCGAAGAAGATTTTGATGGCGATGATGATAGAAAGGGGAGGCCTCTCTTCTGTTGTTGTTGCTGCAACCATCCAGGTTTCAGCATTTGACATGGCCACAAGGAAGCGGAGCTAGAAGGGTACATATAACGGACGACTTCCTGGGAAGTCGTTTTACCTATAATAGGCAGGCGATGGGCTTCTAGTATTTGACTTGGCCTCGAGGAAGTTGGCCTAAGGGGGTATTATGCACTCTATCGAGGCATATAACGGATGACTTTCCAAGAAGTCGTTTACCCTGGACATCTGATAGGCGAGCTTTGGGCTTCTAGCACCCGACCTGGCCTTGAGGAGGTGGCTAAGGAGGCTGTTTGGCATCATATCGAAGCGTATGGCGGATGACTTCCCAGGAAGTCGTTTATCATAAGCCTTTATAGGCTGACAGCAAATATTTGGCTCAGACGATGGCCAAGGAGGTAACCAATGTAGGCAACACTCGGCCAGCCATTGAGAGCATGTCCTACACAGCGTTTGCGCGAGCAATACCCACAACAGAACTTGCTGTGAGGGAAATCGGAAGGAAGCTGATGGCTAAATAGTACATGTTGTAAGTCAGCAGAAATATATGGCAATAAGCGAATGCTTATTCAGCAACCAGCCGGTCGGTTAGCTCAGTTGGTTAGAGCGTCGTGCGTTGCCCTCGACATTCCTTTGCTGAATTGACAATGAAGACTAACATGCCACAGGTACTAATAATGCGAAGGTCATGGGTTCGACCCCCATACTGACCACATGTGTCTTTTTGCAATTCTTTATGGAAAGACTGCCCCCAACAACTTGATAGTTCTAGCTGTGGTCCCCTTGTTGTTGCATCAGCTACTAAGCGGATGCTTAATAGAGAAGATTTCAACACTAGAGGCATTGAGTCAGAGAGTGCACTACAGATGAGGAAAAACGCATTGAGTCACATCAGAGAGGTGTGGGAAGAGGGGTTCATAGTCCCAGTTAAGCCTATAGCAAAAGGAAGATGGAAATAGATATAGAGAAGCCACAGAAACGATCTAGACAGACTTGATTCTACATAATATAACTAGCTATTCTGAGATACCGACAAACTGAGTGTCCTTCAAATTGAAAGCCTATAGATCTGACACAAGAGGACCAAGGTGCTTTCGAGACTTAGAGACAGGAAAACAAAATAGTAGATACGGTGATCGATAAAGCAAATCAGGCCTATTAAAACAAGACACTTTGCCCCAAGCCCTTTAATTCTGTGGGTGCTGGCTGTATCGGTGTATTATTATATTAGTTCGAGTAGGAGCCGAGCTTGCTCTTGAACTGGTAATCGTTGTAGGAGTTGGGCGAAGCGGGCTGCTAGACTTATGAATCCAATCTGGGCCGCTGGATGGGCGTAGCGATGTGCTGGTCTTGCAAGACACCATGCTGCTCCAGCCAGAGCCAGACGGAGCACCAGATGCTGGGTAAGGCAGCAAGTTCCCGAAAGATCTGATTGTGGACCGTGCAGCTGACGAACTCGAGAAAGTTGAGCCAGTCAACTAGTTGGGATGGTCCCAACTCCACAGCTATACTGGTCTGATTATCATACCGGTCCCAGCGGAATCCCCCCTCACTAGTCCTAGTCTAGTGCTATTCTGTACCTTAAAATCGTACTGGTCATGAACGTACTAGTACAATATCATACTATGTACCAGTCTATATTCTATACTGGTCCCATTCTCGCGGGGTCCAAATGTTGGCGGGGCAGACACAGTTACCCTAGGTCGCTTTTCTCTACTGTATTGCTTTGAGATCAGAATTAGGAACTCGTAAGGGATAAATGCTAAGAATCAAACGAAGGCATTATTAAAAAATTATGACGGTTGTAGCCCGATGTAAAACGACGCAGAACTCACTCACTACACACATCTTACTTGCCTTTTATCACCCACATAAAAGAAAAGTAGGGTTATCTAAATGGTGTAACCGTAATTACATATACTGAAAATTGAACTTCTTTCTATAAAAGGAAAAAAAAAAAAAAAAAAAAACCGGGTAAAAAACAATTGTAAGAAGCGAAAAGAAATTTTGCATCTGGTTTAAAAATTGCAAAAAGATACATGTGGTCAGTATGGGGGTCGAACCCATGACCTTCGCATTACTATGTATAGATGGCTCTATATTAGTACGACGCTCTAACCAACTGAGCTAACCGACCGGTTGATTGTTGAAGGTGCGAGGTTAATCTGCTCTTATCAAGCTTTGCCATTGCCGCGATCGACCCTATTGTTTGGATGAGTCAGCAGACCAATCATGGGCATATATGGTCACCAGTCACGTTGTTGGGATGGATGCTGTGTCAGCTTATGCTTGTCATTTCACATTCTTCGAGGTTCTCCTAGTCCCATGGCAAGATGGATGCGGATGGTCCATCTTTTGCACATTAAGCCTTCTTTCTGCTGATTGATGATTCTAAAGCAACAAGTTCGTCTGAAAACCATCATGCTAATAAAGACGCGCCACTTGTCCGATAAAGTCCAGAAAATCTCGAGTTTGAATTCTGCAACAATGTTCGTGGTGCATCAAACTCCATCAAATGGCCATCTTCGAGTAAAGCGACCTTATCGTAACGGATAATATGCGTCAGGCGATGCATCACTGCGATGACAGTGCTGTCTTTAAATTCCGAATCGATGACATCTTGCATGATAGCCTCCGTCTCGGTGGCGAAACTGTTTGGTTTCATGCCAGCAGCTGCGATTAAATGCTTGAAATGATAAACCTTACCTGCTCGTTGCTTCGTCGAGTATCAAGATCCTGCTATTCCTTACCATCGCTCTCGCAAGACAGAGCCGCTCAGCAGGTGTGAGCGGCTCTGGGGAGACTTCTTCGGCTCAAGACATTGAGATGAACGATTATCGTCCTGTAGTTCGCAGTCGACCTAAACCTAAGCGTAAACGGCACGCACGCGGCATTATTTATCAACGGAAGCAGAAGGCGAGAGATAAGATCAACGCTTAAAGGTCTCCAGCAAAGAGGAGTTCGGCTTTGACAACTTTCATCCCGGATCCTCCGAGTGTTGACCCTACCAATACTAGCCAGCTCATGTTGCTAGCGAACAGTGCTCAAATGATGGCAATACTGCTGCGACAAGATGGGCAATGGATAGATGTCGGGGAATTCCGGCGTGATGCCATCATTGAAGCTATAGCACAGGTTCGACGTAGCAATCCAGATCGAGAATGGTTTTTGTACAACAAAGATGGTCGTGGCATTGCTTTAGAGGATTGCCCTACCCACGAAGATGACTTTATCTGTCTGGGTACAGATTCAAGCGGCTTCCCAGCAGTGTACATCTTGTAATTGTAATATAAGAATTCACCCAGTTTGTTGGCGAGTTAAAGTATGGCGCGGAGACTGTGCTAGTGTATTTGATAATGATTTTTCTGCCAGCATCGATTGTGTGCGCGATATGTGGCTTGTGATGAATGATATATGTGTTTCCTTAATATACCCGATGTAAAAGGCACGAACTCTCTGCCCGGACAGGTCCAATTACCGTACCAACCCCTGGTGGGTGTAGTAAACCGTAAATTTACAGTTAATTGATAGTTGAAAATTTTTAACGCGTTAAAAAAAAAAGGTTAATAAAATAAAGTTAGAAATTTTTAACTATTAAAAGTTTTCCAACATTGGAAACAATTTTGATATAAAAAATCTTAAGCGTTAAAAAGCGTTTAAACATTAAAGGCCGCTATATTACGTTAACAAGCTATAGCCCATTAAAAAATAATAGTACTACGGTTGTAAGTATATTATTATACTACAGTTATTTTATTATACTATAGTTGTTTTATTATACTGCGGTTGTTTTACTATACTACAGTTGTTTTATTATATTATGGTTTATTATACTGCGTTTTTACGGCTAATTTTGCCAATTAAAAACTATAACACAAAATAAAATTAAACTAGCTTAAATACATAGTATATTATTATATATACAGCTATTTAAATCAATTAAACTATTTTATCAACAGAACATATAACTATTTTAATTAAAAAGAGTAAGTAAGAAAGTTAAAAGGTAGGCACACAAACAAAGCTATTGTAACTTTTAACAGGCAACAAGCAACATAGAACATAAAATATAGGACACAGGGTGTATAAAGACTATATAAGCTATACTACCTAGGTAGAACAGACTTAAAAGCTATAAACTATTAATCGATTACCAACATTAAACAAAATTTAAACATTAAAATATTATAAGCGTTAAAACTCGATTTAACAATAATAATCATAAACGCTTATAGTTTTCAACGCTTAATTACTTAAACAGTTTAGTTACAGTTGATTTTTTCTAAACAATCGATCAACAGTTTACTGGATCCTGCAGGGTTTGGTACGGTAATAAAGGAGTATTGCACTTAATGAGGTATGAACTGAGGCTAACCCTAGGTACATATAGGTAGACACCGAGAAAGCTGATTTACGGTGATGCGGAGAGAGAAACGGAGGCGAGGGCCGATTGCTGACCGTTCTATTTGCATAAGATGCATGCACAAAAATGGCGTTGCGCTAAGCCTTATACGATGGGTACTTTGAAAAGCGGTAAAACCTAGTACTAAAAAGACGTCATGGACTAGCTCGCCAAGAATCCTCTCGGATGTTTTAATCGCATTCGACGATCGGGAATGCAGCAGAGTATTAAATATTCTCTGTCATATGAAGCGTTCTAAAGGCATTCCAAAAGATAACCCACGGCTCTGTTGTCTGATGGTGGTTGATGAGGCATAATATAAGCGTAGAAGGAGACATGACGACAAGTTAAAGACTCGACTCTCATACTTACTTACACCGGATGACGTATTGATCAAGGCTGTCATTTAGGTAGCCTCACTTCGTCATAATAATAACAAATGATTTCTTGGCATTCCATCTTACGCCAGCTCAGCCTTAGTGTTTTCCGAAACCAACACAATACCGCTTCTTCTGAGCTTTTCTATGCGTCTACATAGCTATCTTTATAACGATTACAATAAGAGCTTTACTATTACTTTATTCAAGCGTACTATAATAAAGGGGAGGATATTGAGTATCTTTTCATATGTTAATACAAACCTATTAACCGTAATACACAAGCCTAAGTGGGCATTATTATCGTAGAAAGTGGCTTCGTTGGTATTACCTTTTCTTTGTGTATCTGGGACTTGTAAGTGATAGCGAGAGAGTACAACGAAACCTTTTTACACTTGGTACTTACACTTGTTATACTTAGTGTTGTTGCTCTCTTGTCTCCTTATGGTTGTGATAGAGACTTGTATGTGCTAACACTTTGAACATTATCGATAGCCAGAATGTGTTACAGCAGCTAAAGAACTTATACATGTTCGAGATAACATGCTAGCAGAAGTATATACCGCTAGGATAATGATATGTGTGTCTTATTAGATCCAACTCTATCTAGTCTCTTACAACGGATATAACAGAACATAAAGCTTATGTGATAAAGCATTGGGAGAAAAAACTATTAATTGGAGGTAGCGGCAGCATGTGTTTAACTGGCTCAGGGTAAAAGAGACTCTGCCATAGACGTCTAAAGAATTGCACTTGAATATTAACGAAGAGGGAGCCCTTGTGTAAAAACCTACACTCCATTAGTTTGTAGCTACTGTTGGTTTTATATACCGACATAGGCCAAGCAGAACCAACTCACCGTTAGTTAACTAAATGTTTCACTTGCTTACAAATAGTCTAGTTAGGTATATATTAAATACTTGGACACATATATAAATTTTAATAAAAACAATATGATTGTTAAAATAAAAGGCTTTAAAGTAAAAATAGGTTATTAAAGGTATAATACTAAAGTAGCAATAAAAATATAATATAAATATAAAGCTTAATATTATTAATTTTTAAGCTTTTTTTTTAAAAAGAAAAAAAGTTTTAGTTTTTTATATAATAGTAAGCTTATAATATAAATATTTTAAAAAGTGTAGCTTTTTTTTTATAATTTAGTTTTTTAATAAAATACTTTTTTTTAAATATTTTATTTTTAAAATATAAATTTATAGCTTTAATAAAATAGCTAAATATTAAAGTTATTTAATAAGTTATAAAACTTTTTTTATAAAATTAAAAATAAATTATTATATAAATATTATAAACTTGCTAATATAAAATAAAAAAATAAATAAATTTTATTTAATTAAAAGTACTAATTAGTTTAATATTTTATTTTATAGCTTATTTTTTTTAAATTAGCTTTTTTTTTTTTTTTTTTTTTTTTTTTTTTTTTTTTTTTTTTTTTTTTTAATTTTTTTT